TATTTAGTCTTAGGAGGAGTTTACCTCCTAATTTGGATTGCACTCTCAAGCAATCTGACTCTATCCGCGACTAAAGCCAGTAATCGATATTCCATTAACCAAGATCTGCCACCGGCCTAGAACCGTCTCTGGGAAGAGGGCCCTTGTCAGAGGGACTTGCAGATTTAGTTGAAATAATCGTGACTCTAGCCATTACGCAGCACCGCTTTCCACCTTTCAATGGAAAACCTTTGCGCCGGACTCATCCCTTTTCACTCGCCGTTACTCAGGGAATCTCATTTGATTTCTTTTCCTCCGCTGAATTATATGCTTAAATTCGGCGGGTAACCTCACCTGATCTGAGATCAAAAATATTGATTAAGTTGATTAATGTTTATTTGTGTTGTTTGCAAGCAAGCAACGTAAATCTACTTTAATGTTTGCACAAATTTTGCCTTTGCATTACTTCTTAGGTCTGCTTTAACAGAATGAAATAGATACTATTTGTACGATTTATACAAGTGCAAGAAGATTCATCAGTTAACAGGTTAGTTGATCACCATAGTTATCTGCAATACGACTTTAGCGTCGTCAGATAGGCGACTAACCTTAGAATCTCATGCTAGTATCTATTCATATATACTGCTTGCAGAGATGAAATATGCATTGTACACAAAATTTATCATGTGAAACAAGTAGATTTGAGATTCTCCTTACTAAATTGCAACGAATTGCAATTAAGAAAAGGAATAAAACATCAAGATTCATGCATATAAATATACAATCCTCTCAAAACAATGCATATATGGTAGTATGCAAGTGTTTTGTTGATTATTTTACATCTCAACTCTCAGACAGATGTGACCTCGGAAAAGACCCGAAAGCCGCAATGTGCGTTGGAAGCTCAAGTGCTCGGCGTGTCCTGCAATTCGCACCGATTATCGTAGCTAGCTACGTTCTTCATCGATTGGTAATTCGAGTGATCCACCGCTTGAAGATGTATCTTTGCCACCGTGGGACTTTTAATAAGTATCCTAAATCTGCATTGAGAGGGTTTGAAAACAATTGTATGCAGTTTATAAAAACCATAGTTGTCTTTACTTAGTTAGGCGAAGAAGTGTAAAACTTCCTTCTTTAAACCTTGCCGTCAGCATAAGCTGAAGACTTGAACAGGTACCAAGTATGTAGCAAGACAGGCTTTTCATTATAAACTACAATTGTTTTGCAAAAGAAATTATGGCTATCGTTAGATAACCCTCACTCTTTGTTGCATTGGATAATGAAAGATGGATGTATGAATGAACGAATGTAATGCAAATTAGAATCATGTTGCAATGGCTAAATGTTTGCATTAAACATTCACAATTGCGACTCTAATGCAAATACAATTCAATTGCATTCACCATATTAGCATCTACAATATCACTATGCAGAGTGTTTGATTGTTTGAAGGTTGTATTTCTCTTATAATAAGAGGGTAATACGTTAATGATCCTTCCGCAGGTTCACCTACGGAAACCTTGTTACGACTTTTACTTCCTCTAAATGATCAAGTTTGAACATCTTTCCAGCACAATCCGACCACTAGTTTCCCAATGGTCTGGATTGACCAGTCCGAAGTCCTCACTAAATCATTCAATCGGTAGTAGCGACGGGCGGTGTGTACAAAGGGCAGGGACGTAATCAACGCAAGCTAATGACTCACGCTTACTGGGAATTCCTCGTTCATGGGCAATAATTACAATGCCCAATCCCCATCACGAAATGGGTTCAAGCGGTTACCCACTCCTTTCGGAGCAGGAAACAGTATGCACGATGACCACTTCAGTGTAGCACGCGTGCGGCCCCGGACATCTAAGGGCATCACAGACCTGTTATTGCTCTGTTTCGTGCGGCTGCGAGCGCCGCTTGTCCCTCTAAGAAGTCCTTACAGTGCTACAGCATCCTTACCCTAGCCAATTCTGTAGGCTAATAGCAGCAGAGCCCTCAACAGCCGAAACCATCAAGAGATACTACCACCCACAGGTTGACTAAGGGGGAGTACTGCAGTGTAAACTGCAAGTCTATTTAGTAGGCTAGAGTCTCGTTCGTTATCGGAATTAACCAGACAAATCACTCCACCAACTAAGAACGGCCATGCACCACCACCCACTGAATCAAGAAAGAGCTCTCAATCTGTCAATCCTCTCAGTGTCCGGGCCGGGTGAGTTTTCCCGTGTTGAGTCAAATTAAGCCGCAAGCTCCACTCCTGGTGGTGCCCTTCCGTCAATTCCTTTAAGTTTCAGCTTTGCAACCATACTTCCCCCGGAACCCAAAAACTTTGGTTTCCCGGAAGCTTCCATTCGAGTCATGAAATTAGTTACTCAGAATGATCGCTGGTTGGCATCGTTTATGGTTAGAACTAGGGCGGTATCTGATCGCCTTCGAACCTCTAACTTTCGTTCTTGATTAATGAAAACATTCTTGGCAAATGCTTTCGCTGTAGTTTGTCTTGCGACGGTCCAAGAATTTCACCTCTAGCGCCGCAATACAAATGCCCCCGTCTGTCCCTCTTAATCATTACCTTGGATTCTTAAGACCAACAAAATAGAACCAAGGTCCTATTCCATTATTCCATGCAAGATCATTCAAGTTAAGGTAGTGGTACGCATCATATAGATGGTTGACCATACCGTTTTTAGGCACCTCTTTCGAGGTTTTGGACGCCTGCTTTGAGCACTCTGATTTTTTCAAGGTAAAAGTCTCGATCGCTTGAATCAACACTCGGTAAAGAGCATTGATAGCAAATATCGAGCAATTTTCTGTCTAAACACTATGAATGTAACCACCAGGAAAGAGGAATGAAGGTTCAAGCAAGCATCCGTAGACACAAGCAAGAAACCTAACATCACCATCTAACCCTTTAATCAGTGGACCCCATAGGTTCGACTGAAATCCAACTACGAGCTTTTTAACCGCAGCAACTTTAATATACGCTATTGGAGCTGGAATTACCGCGGCTGCTGGCACCAGACTTGCCCTCCAATAGATCCTCGTTAAAGGATTTAAATTGTACTCATTCCAATTACGGGGCCTCAATAGAGTCCCGTATTGTTATTTTTCGTCACTACATCCCCGTACTGGGATTGTGTAATTTGCGCGCCTGCTGCCTTCCTTAGATGTGGTAGCCGTTTCTCAGGCTCCCTCTCCGGAATCGAACCCTAATTCCCCGTTACCCGTTACAACCATGGTAGGCGCATAACCTACCATCGACAGTTGATAAGGCAGTTGCTTGAGGGATACATCGTCGGCTCAGAGGCCATACGATTTGCTCAGTTATTCAGAGTCATCACAAGAAATGCAACCGAAGTTGCTAAGATCCCCACTGCTAGTCCTTAGACAGCGACCGAAATCACTGAACAGGGTTCTAGGTGAATAAGAATCATTGGTCTTGTACTAATAAATGCGATCCTTCCGTCAGCAAGCTGAGGTTGGAACACTTGTTCATGTATTAGCTCTAGAATTACCACAGTTATCCATGTAAAAAAGAATATCCGAGGAACCGTAACTGATTTAATGAGCCGCAGACATAAGTCGACCCGCCACCACCCCACTGCGTCAACTCGTTAGAGTCATATTGCAGTGGCGACTTTTTCTCCTAAACTAACAGCACACCTGATTCGTCATTGGCTCGTTAAAAGTGTTAAACAACTTATGGGGCGTTAAAAGTTTAGTCTCCCTTTTCGGTAAAAGTTTTATTTCTCTTTTCGGTTTCGGAGCACACATAAGTTTCTAAGTTACCTGCTTTTGCTCAGTCGTGTACAAGTACATGGGCTTGTTTCCAAATGGGCATCACCACTCGACTGCTGGCACAGTTGTTACCTCAGGCCTCCTGACTTAACAGAAAGCAGCCTTTGCATACTAACTCCAGTTCAAAACTCCGAAATCCCCCCGTAAACGAGTCTCCTTCTTTATCCTGAACTGCTTTTCAAGCTACGTTCCCTTAGGCCTTCTGATTTAACAAAATGTAGCCTAAGCATACTCTCACTCTACTAAATCGTCCAGTCAGACAAGTCTGACCAGGTAACCAGTGTACTTATGCGGATATCCTTTACCTAGAGGGAGGAGTTTATTAAATTAAAGGAGATGATGAGAGTTAGTCTTCGAGGTCAAGTGAGTGTATAGGCTCACCGGACCTCTAAATGTATATGTTAAAGATTATTGTTGTGAAGGGTCGTGAGACCTGCTCATTTACCTTAGAAAATAAATAATAATAGTAATAATAATAATAATAATAATAGCAAAATAATTAATCGATTAGTTGAATAATACTTAACGTTTTGATCCTTTCCAAATTTCAATCTTCATCAGCGAAACTCAGCGGGCCTGAGCGGATTGAATAATCTGTAGCCTGGATTTCTCTTTGTATGGCTGCTATTCTGGATGCACAATGTGAGTCGCTGGCTTTGTGGTCATGTGGCGCTTTCTTCGATAGCTTACAATTGATGCAAGTCGGTTTCAAAGCTAGATTTGTGCAGTCTTCAATTCTGTGTTGCTCACTACAGTGTGAACACTTGTCTTCTCTTCTGCATCTGGCTGATGCGTGGCCGAAACCCTGGCATTTGAAGCATCTGCGCAGTCGGAAGAAGTCTTCGACTTTGCACCTCTGAGAATCTATGTAGAGGGACTGAGATTTCAGAATATGACTTCTGATTCTCGGGCTAGTTTCTACTACCCAATCAACCGTGCTGCGGTGTTTTTCTCCTGTCTTGAAAACTAACTTAACTTCTTCTTTAAACGCCTCATTCGGCATGTCGGGAAAGTTCTGGTTTCTGATGGCTGTTTGCAAATTTTCTAACGGAATGTCTTTGGGGATATTGCGCACGATCATTTTTGGGTTTTTCAAATCTATGCGATTTACCTCGAATGCGTTGTTAGTTGTTAAATCTCCAATGAGAAAGACAACTGTTTTTTTACATGTTGTTCTGACTATCAACTGCGGGTTGCTAAATACCATTCGAATACTATCGAATTTAAGTTGATTGGCTATAGGGTCAACTGTTTTGAGGAAATTGGCTCTAAGCTTCTTGACATCATTACATTCTGTCTTTGATTTGATGTTTATGACTTCAAAATAATTTTGTTTCTGCACAACAGTCTGTTTCTTAATTATTGATGCATAACTCTTGGGCTGTGGTGGAGCCACTGCGGATTCTTTTACCTGGGGCTGCTGCAAAACCTGTTGAAAGCTAAGTTTCTCGTTCACTTTTACGCTCGATTCTTTCAATTCGTCAACTTTGTTGCTCATGCTCTCTACTGCTTCTACTTTTTTGCTAATGTCAGTGAGTTCTTCATACGCGCCTGCTGTCAGATCTGCTAAATGTGAAAGGCTTTCTTTCATTGTGTGTAGTTGGTCAATCTTAGCATGCATTTTCTCAATCTCTCGATTAGCCAACATGAAACCCTCATTTTGACCTTTGACTCTATTGAGGTCATTGTGTAGCGTAGCTGCTATCGTTGCTACATCAGCAAATTTTCCTAAGATAAAATCAGAAGCCTTCTTGCTTATTTTATTTTTTTCATCGAGAATGAATGACTGAAGTTCTTGTTGGATGTACTTTATATTTAAAAGTTCATCTGCATTTAGAGTCTGTGTGACTGGAGGACTATTGTCAGACATGTTTTAAGACTAATGATTTTATGATTGGCACAACTTGACTGAATTAAACGAAAAAATATGTTGAAATCTGTGGAAAAAAGGTTATGTATAATTAGTGCAATAATAATAATAATAAAGAAGTAAATAAATGATTAATTAAGGTTAAGAGAGGTCGCCAGGACACGGCCGAGAACTAGCGAATACACTAAAAAACTCAACGTATGCAAAAAGTGGATTTGAAAATTTGTAATTTGATAATAATAATAATGATAATAATAACTTGGTAATTGAAAATTTGAATTTTGATATAATGCAATAAGTTGAAAGTTTTTAAGAGAAAAATTACAAGTCCACTTTTGAGGAAATTGGGGGAACTCTAATGCGCATACGCTGAGGAACGTGACATGTCTAGGGGGTTTGATGGTAATAAACTTGCCGGAACTATTCACGATCTTGACATACTATTGAAAACTGGTTTCAACTCCCTCCCCCCATGCTGTCGCCGCAATACACAGCTGTCAGGGCCCTGAGCATCACTGAATTCATCCTCGTTATATCCAGACCGAAGTCCAAACATAGCTCAGAATTCTCAACTCTACATTCTATTTGGGCTTTCACCTTGAACCGCTGGTGTACCCAACAAGACTTCACACCTCCGAGAAGGGTCCATCTTGATGAATCCAACAAGGGAACTCAGCTAAGCCCTACACTACTTATCTTGCAACTAGCATCGTTGAATTCGTCCTCATTATATTCAGACCGAAGTCCAAGCATAACTCAGAATTCTCAACTAGCTGACAAGATCTAAGAGCTTTTCCTGACAATCACCGAACATTGTACCAAGTTAGTGCCCCTCCGAAGAGAAACGACTCGACACAAGTCAGCTCATGACAAGAGCTACTCTTAGTACTATCTGCATCATATCTTGCAACTTAGAATCACTGAATTCGTCATCATTACGTCCAGACAAAACCGAACATAACTCAAAATCCTCAACCAAGTCCACAAGAAATGAGAACTAATACTATTCCTTACGAGCCCTAACATCCGGGTATTGCAACGACAAGATAAGGTGCTTCACTTCGGGTTCAAATAACCCTTGGATCAGCCTAACAGAAACCACCGGTAAGCGCAATCTTTAGCCTAGATATTCAGTTGGACGATTCGGGACGTTATCCCCTATGGTTCGACGGATCGAGGAAAGTCAACCCGGTCAATGACTGGAAGAACCACAAGGTATTAGCAATCAGAAAATAGCACTAAGCTAATTCTTCATGCACCCCTCCGTGTTTTTAAGCACGCTTATCCTCCCTTTCGGACTTATACTGGAATTAAACAGAACTATTACCCTCTGGTTGATTTAATGAGCCATTCGCGGTTTCACTTTATAAACAGTATGTACTTAGACATGCATGGCTTAATCTTTGAGACAAGCATATGACTACTGGCAGGATCAACCAGGTAACTTGATGTTTTAGCAAAGTAAAATGCTAAACAAGTTGTTTTGCAGCTATAAATACGATATCCTCAGATAACAACCAGCAAGTGGATGCTAACTTTAATGAGGTATCGAGATTTATGTCGTGCATTAAGATGATTCCGCAGAAATCTCTTTAGAATCCATCTTCTTCCACTAGAATATGCAAGCATATCTAGCAGGAGTAACCATTGCTGGGTACGTTTGCAAGTCAACTAAACAGCATAGTATTATAACCGCTTGATACCAATTTCTTGGATCAATCTGCGGTCTGCTTTGCACAAGCAGAGCTCAATACTAATACTGCTCACTCTGTTGAGTGACTAGTTTGAACATATATGCAAGATATGAAGTCTGATAGCATTAAAGCCCAACTCTCATAGATATTGTCAGTCGTACCAAGGAA